CCACTTCTCAAGCTCTGAACTAGGAGGGGAATTCGAGTTCATGGATGATGCCACTAAGTACCTCAGATGACAGCTGGTGATATTTTTGGGATTTCCTGGGACAAGGAGTCTGACTGTCTGCCTTTTCTGTTAAATTACAAATATTGATTCAAGGGCCTATTTGAGCTGCTATTTTAACTTTATTTTCTCTCCATCGTTACAAATCAAATCAGCAAATACTTAACGTCTGCTGCCCATGCTGGGTCTCTGTTCTTAATGACCGTCAGATCTGTGGTTTTACACATCTTACCAGAGTGACCTTTCCCTCCATTTTTATGGGGTCTCGTGTATCGTATATAGCATTCTCTATGTCCCAAGGGCGGACGACCTTGAAGCCCCTGCTCTTCCTGCATCTACTCCAAGTGCACAGAGATAAATACATGAGCTACTATGCCAAGTTTGGAATTCAGACATTTTAAAATCTACATCTTTCACAGCCAGACGGTGGCGGTGCACGTCTTTAGTCCCAGCACTGGGGAGGCAGAGGCAGGTGGATCTCTGAGTTCCAGACCAGCCTGGTCTACAAAGCTACACATAGAAACCCCATCTCGAAAAACAAAACAAACAAACAAACGCAAAACCCCCCAAAACTGTATCTTTCTCATAGACTTTTTGAGGCAGGATTTCATGTGGCTTATGCTGACCTGGAACTTTATATTTAGCAAAATCTAACCTTGAGCTCCTTCTGACCCTTCTGTCTCTGTCTCCCGATGCTGGGATTATAGATGTAGACTACCACACTGAGCTTTGTCATCGACTTGGGCTTTTTGCCAGGGAGAGCGAATAAATAGCAGGAAACAAGGAGAAAAAGGAGTATATACATCATTGGATATTCTGCTAACACCAGGAGTTGCCTTTCTTCCCAGAAGGTGGTTGTTGCTTGTTAGTTGCTAAGATTGGAGCCTCTCGAGCCGGGCGTTGGTGGCGCATGCCTTTAGTCCCAGCACTCGGGAGGCAGAGGTGGATCTCTGTGAGTTCAAGACCAGCCTGATCTACAAGAGAAAGTTCCAGGACAGCCTCCAAAGCCACAGAGAAACCCTGTCTCAAAAAACAAAAAAACCAAACCAAACAAAACAAAAAGATTGGAGCCTCTCCCCAGCAATGGATTCGAGCATGAGGCTGAGTGGGGAGGATACCTGTGGCATAGACCTCGTATGTTCAGTCCTGCTGGGTCTTGGCTAAGGGACAGGTAGTGCTACTCGTGACCCGGAACAGGAGGTTGGGCAAATTGATTTATTATCAGCTCAGTAGAACTTTATAAGAGTTTAAGGAAGCGAGGCTGGAAGGCAAAAAATGACATGGGCAGGGTGGCTCAAGCTGCAAGGATTTAGTTTTGAGAAACCACAAGGAATTGAAAGACCACAAGGAATTGAAAGAGTGGTGAGTGCTGTGGGTTTTTAAAACTTTCTTCTTTTTTTTTTTTTTTAGATGTGTATGGTTGTTTTGCTTACATGTGTATCTGTGTACCGCAAGTACCAGGAGGACATCGGATCCCCTGGAACTGGAGTTGTAGATGGTTGTGAGCTGACATGTGGGTGCTGGGAATCAAGCCCAGGGCGTCTGGAGAAGCGGCCAGTGCTCTTAACCACTGAGCCATCTCTCCATCCCCCGAGTGTTGTGGATTTTGTTTTCAGAGTGAAGTTGTGTGGCTTTGAGCACAGCCTAGGGTTCTGGCCTTAGAGACGTTTCTCTAGAGGGAGGAGAGCATTGGGGATGGGGAGTAGCTGGGTTTGGGCAGACATTGGTGAGAGGGGACGATCCAGGATGACATCTCTTCCACTTGACTCATGTCCACAGAGGTGAGAAAGGCTGGCGAAGGAAGATAGAAACACAGCCTAGGATGAAGACGAGATTTTGACTTTAGATGTGTTAGGCTCTGGGGCTTGGACTGAATGCCAGTTACGCCGAGGGTGCTGTGAGCTCACTCTGAGCTCATGACTGACCTTGGCTTGCTTTAAAGGGATTAATTGTGTCTAACACAGATAGCGCCGAGGATGAGATCTGTAATAAGTGTTCGGTAAGACGCACCCTTGCTGGGTTCATAGACGACACCCTTGCTGTGATCAAAGCGTGTGAATTGGTGTAGGTTGAGACATGGGGATGAGGAGGTGCCCTTGTCCTGGATGCTGGAGAGGTAAGAAAGGATTCCTAGAATTTTTCTGAAGGGCTCCGACTCTCAGAGGTTGGAAGGAGGAGCCAGAGAAAAATCAAGCTACATAACCATCTTTTACCACCACTGATCTCAAAGGTTATCTGTCCAGGTGCCTGTTGACCCTAGAAGACAGGAAGGAGGCTGAGGCAGAGGGACCAGAAGTTCAGGGTTACTCTAAGCCACATAACAAGTTCAAGGCCAGCTTTGAACTGCAGAAGACCCTATTTCCAAAATAAAATAAAATAAATGAATACCTTAGTTAATTGTGTTTGGAGCCAAGTCTGGAAACAGAGGTCTCCAGTGGAATGCTTGCCCGATGAGTGTGCATGAGGACTGGTTTTGGTCCTCAGTACTCCACGGGGTTGGTGGAGTGGGACACTAACTTTGTAGGTCAGACCTCACTGTACTGGACAGGCCTTAAGGTCTTTAAACCGGGCTGGAGAGATGGCTCAGAGGTTAAGAGCTTTAGCTGCTCTTCCTGAGGTCCTGAATTCAATTCCCAGCAACCACATGGTGGTGGCTCACAACCATCTATAATGAGATCTGGTGCCCTCTTCTGGCCTGCAGGCATACAGAACACTGCATACATAATAAATAAATAATTTTTTAAAATCCTGCTTAAACCAGGAGTAGATAGAGTTAAATAAATAGGCCTTGAGGTTTGGTTCAGTCAGCTGTGTAGTTGTAATTGGAAGTTCTGTAAGTTTATAGAGCTGCTTTTGGTACTGGAGAGATGGCCTAGGATTGGAAGCACTTGTCTCTTACAGAGGATCTGAATTGGGATCCCAACATACGAGCAGTGGCTTATAACCCACTGTGTAACCGCAGGCGGGGTTTAAATGAGTTCACCAGACCCAAGATAGATGATAAATGGGTGTTTATTAGGGAACGACTTACACAGACAGATACGAGTAAACAACCACCGAGGTCTCTGCCCTTCTGACACGATCTGCAACAAGAGAGAGCCAGCGCCTCCTTTACCTTATAATGGGTCAAGTCTGCAGCTGAAACCACCCCCAAAGGGTGCGGCCACCACCACAAGTTCACTGGCAAGGCAAGATGCCACTGTATATAAGTTCCAGAGGATTTGATGCCCTCCTCTGGCCTCTATGGGCCCTGAACACACACACACATGCAGACAGAACACCCGTAAACAGAAAACAAATCTTGTTTTAAAAGGATTCATGTGTGTACATGTTTACATACATGTACCTTTACATACATATGTGGGGGGAGTGGCATCTTCTGTAGCCAACAGTGGCCTTAGCTCTCTGTACCCTGGGATGACCTTCAGCCTGCTCCAGGCATGTATACCACCATCCGTAGCTTTACAAAGTTCTGGAGGTGAGACCCAGGGCCTTTTGAATGCGAGCGAACGAAACGCTCCACAGCCTGAGCCATATAGCCCAGCTCATGTTGCTGCCTGAGAGCTCGCAGATCTGACGGGAAACTTTAGCTGGGCAGACGGCATGGGTCTTATTCCTCAGCGATCCGGTAGAGGGTGATCAAAGTAGGGAATTCTTCATTAGGGGATCCATTAGGATAAAGAAAACGCAGGAATTTTCTTCACATTAACATCTAGCTTTTAGACAGTTTCTGTCAAAGAAATATCACACACATACACACACACACACACGCACACACACACACGCACGCACACACATGCACGCGCGCATGCATGCATATGTATAAATTTTTCACGTTATAAAAAAATCGACTGTGGAATGGAATAGATCTATGCGCCTTTGAAGTCCCATGGTTCGGTAGTTGGCATATTCAGCACCTTGGCTATATTTTGTTTTGTTTTGATTTTTGTTTTTTGAGACAGGGTTTCTCAGTGTAGCTCTGGCTGTCCTGGAACTCACTCTTTAGGCCAGTCTGGCCTCGAACTCACAGAGTTCCTCCTGCCTCTGCCTCCCGAGTGCTGGGATTAAAGGTGTGCGCCACTACTGATGTATGTATGAATGTATATGTATATATATATGTGGCATATATTTGTTTTTTTCAGATTTTCTATATCAAAGAAAATTATCCAGATACTTACTAAGGGTATGAAAGACTTTAATTCAAGAGGGAATCCAGAGCTGGGCGTGGAGGTTCAGGCCTGTAATCCAGGACTTGGGGAGGCTGAGGCAAGAGGGGTGTGCCTTTCAGGCCAACTATGGCAGAGTGGTCACAGGCCAGCCTTTTGGTGCACATGCTCTCAGAATGTCCCACAACGCCAAGCCCTCACTTTATACTCTGTTCAGTAAGAACAGCGTCTAGCCGGGCGTTGGTGGTGCACGCCTTTAATCCCAGCACTCGGGAGGCAGAGGCAGGTGGATCTCTGTGAGTTTGAGGCCAGCCTGGTCTCCAGAGTGAGTTCCAGGATAGGCTCCAAAGCTACACAGAGAAACCCTGTCTCGAAAAACCCTGAAACAAACAAACAAACAGAACAGTGTCTACCTCAGCTGGGAAGAATTAAGACATTTGAAAACTGTTGTGCAGATAACTCACTGCCCTCAGCGTCAGGACTTAGCTTGGCTGCACCCTGCGCTGAAGATACAGGCTTCCTGGATAAACAAGTGTCCAGCTGCTACCTCCAGGAACCACTCCAGATCAGCGATGTGCT